TCTCCCCCAACCTTTGGAAGAATAATATAGACAGAATTTTCCACTTGGGGAAGAAAGGGGTGTGGGTACTCAGTTACTGCCTAGGAGTCTGAGATTAGTCTCTCCATGATAAGGCTCAGAGTCAGGCTGAATCCCATAGCCTGTAAACACAGGCCAGTCACTACAGAAGAGGTATCTGAGTCATACGAGGGCACTGTAAGAAAACAAAATTACAGGCCAATGTGATAAACATAGATGCCAAAATTCTCAAAAAATAATAGCAAACCAAATTGAGCAAAACATGAAAAGGGTTGTTCACCATTATTAAGCAGCATTTATCTCAAAAATGCAATGATGGTTCTACACATACAAATTAGTAAGTGTGATAAGCAAAATTTAAAGAATGAAAGTCAAAAACTATTTGATGGTCTCAATAGACATGTAAGAATCATTGAAAAATATTCAATATATCTTCCTGATAAATAGTCTAGTGAATTAGGTATAGAAAGAACATACCTTAACATAATAAACGCTAAATGAGATAAGCATTTAATTAACATCATTATCCATGAAGAAAGTTCAAAGATATTATTTTACAATGAGAAATAAGAGAGGGATGCCTTATTATGAGATTTGTATTCAGCCTAATACTGAAAGTCATAGCCACAGTACCATGCAAGAGAAAGAAATGAAATGCACCCAAATCAGAAAGGAACAAGTAAACTTGTCTCTGCAGATAACATGAACTTATATACAGACTAGATAAAAGTATTTGCCAACCATATATCTAAAATGAGCTAATATCCAAATATCCTAAGAACTCAGTAACAAGTAAACAACCCAAGTAAAACATGCCCAAAGAACCTGAGGAGACATTTATACAAAGATGGCCAACAGGTCTATAAAAATGTCTATAAAATGTCTATAAAAAATGTCTATAAAAATGTTAACATCAGTAATCACCAAGAAAATATAAATAACCCAATGAAGTATCACCTCCCACCTTTTAGCATGGCTATTTCAAAAATATGAAAAATAACAAGTGCTGGCAAGAATATAGGGAAAGGAAATTTTTCACATTGCTGATGGAAATGTAAATTAGTACAGACACTGTGGAAAGCAGCATGGAAGCTCCTCAGAAAATTGAAAATAGCATTCCCATATGATCTGGCAATTTCATGATGGAGACATATTCAGAGGATATATGAAATCAGTATTGCAAAGAGAAATCCCACACTCCCAGATTGATTACAGCATTAATCACAGTAGCCCAGATATGAAAACAACATAAATGTTCATCAATGGATGACTAAATCAAGAAAATTTGGTGTAAATAAACAATGACAACCTTAGGAAAGAATGAATTTTTGTCCTTTACCACCACCTGGATGAACTTGGAAGACATTAAGTAAGATAAAAAACAACACTGTGTGTGAACTCACTTTCTTTCATGTGAAATTTAACACAGTCAAACACAAAAAAAGGAAGGCAAAATGGTGGTTACCAGGGAGATGCTGATCACAGAATACAAACTTCAAGTTAGACACAAGGGGAAGTTCATGAAATCTGTTGCACATCATGGTGATTATAGTATCGACAACAGTACTATATTGTGTAGTTGAAAATTGCTGAGGAAGTATATTTTAACTGTTCTTATCACAATAGTGCAAATATAAGAGGTAAAACACATATTAGCTTGATTTAGCAATTTCACAATGTATTCAAATATCAAGACACAATATTAGACACCAAAAATAGATAAAATTTTGCTGATAAAAATAAAAATAAATAAAATATGCAAGTGTTCACTTTTTAAAAAATACAATAAAGTAAGATTAAATTTTTTGGAGACTGTTTATTCATCCATAATAGCCGACACAGTTTAAGCACAATTTAACCAGGCTAAGGTCTAAATGCCTGGCATTTATTATCTTATTCCATTTACCCAATAACATCAAGACAGCAGGCCTGTATTTATCACCACTTTTAAGTTGAGTACATGGAGATACAAAGGGTTTAATTCAGTTTCCTATTGTGCACTGAGGATAAAAAGGGAGCCAGGGATTCAAACTGAGGTGCTCTGTTCCCCTTCCTTTCTATCATTACTCTAAAATATACCCTCATACAAAGGAAGAAAATTCACTAAGTTTTAAAAGACAAAAGGAATTGTCAGTTACATATAAATTCAGTCAAATACAGTATGCATAGTAAAAACACAACAGAACAATTATACAGGTGATTTTTGCTTCTGTCTAAATTTCTGAATTTTTTCATTGTAAAGAACTCAGATCAATCAGTTTTAGGTGTTATATTATGGCTTATCTAAATAGATTAAATAATTTAAAATTATTTTTAGAAAGAAAACAGAACTTCCAAGCTCTCACAAACACAGTACCCAACCATAACAATCTTTACATAGGTGAGGTATTTTAGAGCTTCTGCATGCAACAAATTCAAGTTCCTACATTTTCTTATAAATCTTGCCATGACACTAAATATGATAAAAGAAAGCATGTTTAGGTTAGCTAGAGAGTGAGTTATATATATTTATGCGTCCTGTCCAGTGGACAGAGACATCACATGCATTCACTTCAAGAATTTCATCTCCTTGCAGCTATTTCAATGCTCCAAAACACATATGTGTATATGCATTTAACAAAATTCAAAGAAAATTTATACCATAGACTTATCTCACTGTTATTGTATACTTTTCTGTTTAAACTTGGGCGCTTTCAATTCTATTTCTTTAATTTTAAACTTAGGCACTGTAAAAATGCCCCCAACATCAAAAAGACTCTGACAATTTTCAAATTGAAATGCCAGGATCCTTTTTCTTAGCCCCGTCCACTACACCAACTCAGGCTTATGCCTTTATTTATGAAGTCAGTATGACTGACTCCTCAGGGCTGGAATGCAAATGCAGTCACATATCTTTTACTCTTCCCCATTAGTAGCTGACATCTTAATAAACAGCAAGTCTAATGTATCTTCTGTGGACCTTTTATTTACTAAAGATTTAAGAATCCAGTTCAAAGGAACAGTCCTTCAGTGCTAAGAGGCCATTGGAGTTTGCTCAGTCCCAAAGCAATCCCAAGTCCCTACTGCTACACAATGTTGAAATAGACAGTTAGTCTCCTACCATGGCTACTTGGTATGTGTCACAATGATGCCTCACCGGAGTGAGTCAAAAACATCCATTCAAAGCTTTTTCTTGTCCTAGTCTCTTTTTTATGTGGACTTCACAGGTCACTGATAAGTGCCAAGTGAGTTTACATTAAAGTCTGTTTATACTAGAGCTACATAGAAGAAAATAAGGTGGGATTTTCAAAAGTATAAGTATCATCTCAGAGGATAATATTAAAGAATGAAGGAATATAGTAATTTCACTTTGAAAAGGAATAATAAGAGGCAAGTCAAGAGCCCTCTCTACTGGGTGGGGTGTACTGGTAGCACATATTTTCCCAGAACCCTCCTCAAGGCCCCCATGACCTCCTTATTCCTCAGGCTATAGATGAGAGGGTTCAGGGCTGGAGTGACAATTGTGTAGAAAACAGAGATGATGTTGTCTTGTTTGGGACTGTGGAAGGAACTGGGCAGGACATACATGAATGTGGCAGCCCCATAGAACATCCCAACCACAGTCAGATGGGAAGAGCAGGTGACAAGGGCTTTCTTCTTTCCCTCATTGGAGGGCATGTGGAGCACAGTGGACAGAATTAGTGTGTAGGAGGCAACAATAGCAGAAAGGGGCAGCAAGAGGAAAGTCACACCTGTCACATAAACCAGGAGCAAATATCTGGAGGTATCTGCACAGGCTAACTTCAACAAAGGTGGGATCTCACAGAGCAAATGTCTGATTTCCAAGGACATGCAGAAAGGGAAATGCATTGTATACATGGTGTGTCCTAAAGCAGTCAAGCATGCCAGGATCCAGGATGTGGCCACTGTGAGCCAGCAGACCCTTGGCCTCATGAAGATCATGTAGTTCAGAGGATGACAAATGGCCACATACCTGTCATAAGCCATGAAGGCCAGGAGGAGGTCCTCTGCACTACCCAGCATCAGTGCTAGGAACATCTGAAGGGCACAGCCTCCAAAGGAGATGCTGTTTTCCCTCCGCAGATAATCCAGGAGGGTTTTGGGAGTGACAACGGATGTGAACAGGAGGTCCACAAGAGAGAGCTGCCCGAGCAAGAAGTACATGGGCACTTGGAGCCGGACATCTGTTGTGATGACCAGAAGCAGCAGTCCATTGCTTGTGAGGGCCAGCATGTACAGGAAAGTGATCATGGCACAGAGCAGATCAGGAGCCCCGCTGTCATTCAGAATCCCCACCAAGATGAAGCTGCTTCCCCAGGTGGAGGAGTTCCAGAGCTCCATTCTGTTTAGTTCTTTCAGTTGCCTAAAACAAGATAGATATTCAGAGGCATTAACCTACCTTTTTGGTCCATCCCAGGATAGTATGCAGTGGTCAATAAAAATCCCATGAAATATACTTTCCTTCTCTCAGCTAAATTTCCCCTCTGGATTCTGAATTTCTAAAAACTTCTATTAAATTTTGATTTGCCCATCCATGTAAATGTAAAATAGGTGTGTCAGATAATGCTAATTATTAAGAATTATCTTTACATAAGATATGGGAAAGAATAAACCCAAAGATTTTTCTACATACATGAAAACTTCTCTCTCTTCATAACAAACCAATACACTGGGAAGTGTTTAAAAGCTGTCTGTTTTTCTACTTAAAGTTGACTTTGGTACACAATTCTACTTTTAAAATTTTATTCATAAAACCTGTTTGCCATCTTCTTGCTTAACTTGACATCTGCCTTTATGTTCTGCCCTCATTGTTTTTGACACCTTCCTCACTAGCAGGATTTCAGGGATTTTGGGTCACATGATTCTTATACTCTTAAGCCATCCTCACCTCCTTGTGGGGGATACAGTGACTGTGCTTTAGAGAAAAACAATTCTGGGCTTAGTTGAATGGTCATCCTGATGTAGGTTTTTGATGCAAATTAGTAGGAACAGTGGAAAAAGAACACTTGCCTCTTTGAAGGAAGTGATGAACTATTTACTCGGAATGAGACAAGAAAAATAAAATAATGGGATCCACAGAGACATAGAAGTTGTTGGTATTTATGGTATATGATAAAAGGAGTGAGTTACAAAAGAGGAAGCCTTATAGAAAATGAACAAAACTGTTCTTTTACCTGGGAGTCAAAGCAACATTCTGACCATAAAAAATACCTTCCTCTGCTTCACACATCTTAGGAGCATATGGAAGGATGCTGGCCTTGCTGAGCCCTGAATCCATATGATATTACCAATGGAAGGGACTGAGGAGGAATGTTTTGGAGAGGGGTGATGGTATCCACTCAGCATGCACTTTATGAATGCAGATCTTTCACAGTTAGGTGGAGTATGTAGAAGACACTCTGGAAGAGAAGAGAAATTTTTAACAAAAAGTTCATCACCTCTCCCTTGTAATATCTGTACCGGCTCCTATCTTTCCTTATGTCACCTCTCTGATTATTTTAGAGTTGGGATCATAAAAACTTGACATCAGGAGACCCATATGATCCAGTTCCTTTCATTTGCACAGGTGGATATTTGCTAAGGAACTCTGATGTATCCAGTACCACACTTGATGCTAGGGTGGTAGCATAGATGTGAAAACTAATCACAAAAACACCTGCCTCACCCAATGGCAATAACCAATATATGAAGGGAAATATGACGTACTTCAGAACAAATAAGGGAGGTTTCACAAAATGATTCCCCAATAAAGTGGGTACAAGCTACAGGTTGAGAATGAATAGAAACTGGCAAGGTCAAAAACAGGGCATAACAAAAAGAGAGCAGATAGTGAAAGTCAGGTGTAAAAAAGGACATCACTTCAGTGATGTCTTTTCTGCAATTTTGCCATAAGGATCACTGAGCAAGGAGACCTTCAGAGAAACACACTCCTTAAAGTGAAGCCTCACCCTCCATTGGGGTATATAATATTCCTGCTGATTCATGAAACCAAAACTACATGACTACCTGGAAAATATTGATTGGAATACTGCCTATGAACAACAACAATAACAACAAAAATAAGATGTTCAAGGACAATTCTGGGTACGGTTGCTGGTAATTATAAGACTTGAAATGCTCTTGATTTTATTAAATAAAATGATGAATGGGTAGAGAAATAAAGGAAAAGAAATAATTGGGCACATTTCTCCAGATCTCTGGGCCAGTATTTGGAGTGATTTCAAAGAGGAGGGAAAAAAGCAGGGTTTTATTAAGGAGGTGTCGCCAGGCCTCCAGATTCCTACCTACATGCCACCTCTCTCTGTTTCAGGACTCTTGCTTTCTCTCCTTTTCCATTCACTGGTTTATCATTTCTAAAGATCTCTAAGTAGAAAGGCCAGGGAGCACCAACTGGACCAACAAAGGAAGGACTCCTCTCTGGAAAATTCCTGGAGATGTATGGGTATCTCAAACCAAGAGCAGTCAACAGAGGCTGAGGTTAATAGAGGACCATTGTACATGGTCAGTCCATTCAGATAATGCTAAAGCTTAGAAGCATATTTTTATAAGGTTTTTCTCTGTCATTGATCAGTATATTTAAACTTTTTCACTAACTTTAGTTGGTTTTCTGTGGCATGTTCAAGAGAAACTTCAACTGATATTAGGTATTCCTCTTTGGAGATGCTTTCTTTTGGGGGACCTCATCAGACTACTAGAGTCCAGGAAAATCAGGTGCACCAAGGGTAAGTACTGAGAATATTATTGGGAAGCCAGCATCAGGAATTCCAGAGACTCTGTACTGGCCAGTGGCACTAAATGATTGCAAAAGTTCCCACATATTCAAAGTGCCTACAGTCACCTTGTACAGAAAGGAGTGAATGAGCTGTAAAGCCTAAGGCACTAGAGAATCTGAACTGCAGAGTATATACCATCTTGATTCTGTTTCTCAAGAATTAGAGGGTCTACTGCCTAGAAACAGAGAAAGAGCCCTTACCTCAATTGGGGAAAAATACCACTGCTAGACCTCAGCAAGGATCCTGGGATTCAGAAGGTCCAGATACTGAAGAAAGAGGAAGTGGTTCTTCTGGCAGGGTTGGATATAGGTATGGGACCAGGGATCAAAGGCTCTTCTGATCACTGTCATTGACTCTCTTTCCTGGGGAAAGAGACAGATGCAGATGGGCAGCTGAGAACCTTGGGCAGGATCCTGGGGAAGCGATGAACTGAATCCCTTAGGAAGGATCCCATCCACTCTCCTTGTGAGAAAGTACTTCACAATCATAGGGTGATTTGGGCTGAATTATTGAGTCCTTGTACTCAAATCTTCATATGTTCCTCTCTTGTTGGGATTCATGAAAATGTTAAGCACCATAGGAGCTGGGGGGAGTGGGGAGATATGGGAGGAGCTACTCAAAAGAGACCCACTATTGGCTAGCCCCATTTTTCCTTGGGCAATTGTGAGTTAGCTCTGGCCTGTCCTGGGGGACATATTAGAGTCTCTTCCTCTCAAGTGACATGTCCTCCCCTGAAAATGCCACTCCAGGAAACTGGATTTTAATGAATCCTCTTGGGCATGTCTCTTGGCCCAACATTTCACTGATTATGAGCTCTTAAGCCTGAGGACTTGTTCTTTCCCATGAGGTCTTGCTGAGACTGTGTCTGACTAAGCAGATGGTGTCCAGAATTGGTCCAAGAAGCAAGTAACCCCTATTCTTTCTTCTGTCCAAATCATAGAGTGTATCTTCTGCCTCTGGAAGGGCTACCACTCTCCATCTCCCTCTATGAGGCCCTTGTATGGGCTATTACCAGCTGGAGGGAGTTAACAATACTAACATCAGATCTTCCTTCTCTGACCTTAGTTAGCATCCTACAGTGATTTATTGGATCTTCATATGCTTTTCTATTTCTTTCTCATTTCCACCCTCTCTCCTGCATGTGCACACGAGCATGTGCCTATGTGTTCTCTGCCCAGTGGGCTCAGCTGCTCAGAGGGATGAGAACACAGCACTGGTCTCCTCCATCATGGTTTTGGTTCAGGCATTTCTCATCTCTCACCCAAACCTTTGCTTCATCCCCCTCAGTTTTCATTCCTCAATCACTCATTTCACTAGTAATATTGGGAAAGACTGCTAGAGTTTTCACTCTTTTTACTTTCAATTTCAAGAAAGTTAAAATCAAATATATTTTTAGTATAAAAAGAATAAACCCTAGAAAACTTTTGCACAACAAAAGAAATATAGCATGTATTTATTTTCACCAGTATAAAAGTAACACACTCATAAGGAGACATATTAGTTAACATCTCACCCCAATGATGAAATAACTAAAAGAAAATTAAGTTACAAAGAGAAAAGTTTTATTTAGGAGTTCCAGTCCAGGTCTGGTCTGATTCTTGCTTTGGGGCACTGTTGGGTGTGCTGAATAGCAATAGAGGGGTGTGTGCAGCAGGGAAAAACTGCTCATGTTATGGCCAGGAAGTAAATAATAGTGAGAAAGAGGCCAAAATCCCCCTCAAGAGCACACTAACAATGACCTAAGGTACACCCAGTAGGGCCTACATCTTAAGGGTAGAACTGAGCGACCAAACACTTAACACATGGAATTAGGGGAGCATTTTATATCAAAACTATTGGAGGAAGTTTTTTATAGGTAAAATAGAGCAGGACTTTTCATTATAGAACAAAATGGAAACAACACTTCTGCCCACCAACATAAGAATAGGTTAATATTAACACAAAGGGGTACTATACAGAAATCAAAGCAAGGGAACCAGAAGGCCTAAATCCCTGTCTTTTTTTAACACACTTACTTTTTTTATTTTTATTTAAGTATATTTTAATTAAATTATTTATTTATTCCAATCTGTTACACATGATGGCAGAATGCAATTAATTTCATATTATACATATAGAGCACAATTTTTTAAGTCACTGATTGTACACAAAGTATTTTCACACCATTCGTGTCTTCATATATGTACTTAGGGTAATGATGTCCAACTCATTTCACCATCATTCCTACCCACTTGGTCCTTCCTTCCCCCCTCCTTCCCCTTTGTCCTATCCAAAGTTCCTTCCTTCCTCCCATGCTTCCCGCCACCCATCGCCCTTATGAGTCTACATCCTCATATCAAAAAAAAAAAAACATTTGGTCTTTGGTTTTTTGGTATTGGCTTGCTTTAGTTAGCATTATATTCCCCAACTCCATCCATTTACCTAAAAAATGCCATGATTTTATTTGCTTTTAATGCTGAGTACTGTTCCATGTGTATATAATCACCAAAGTTTCCCTATCTATTCATCTACTGAAGGGCATCTGGGTTGGTTCCACAATTCAGCTATTGTGAATTGTGCTGCTATAAACTTTGATGTGGATATGTTTCTGTACTATG